ACACAAACCAAAACAGCGATTAACTTGGGGTTAGCGCTTAGCCACAATTGAACAACCGGCCCCAGGGACTATGGTCCAGGGTGGAAAGTTCGTTTTTTTTTCGCCGAATTTTCACGCCAGGCTCCTGATCGTGCGCCAACACTCTTCAATGACACAATGTCCGTAACCCCGTGGCTCAAATAAGAATATGCTATGCTAAATGATTGCTAATCAATCATTGTGTATTTTATAGTCACGACAGTCTTGCGTATATATTGGTGAGTCTGGTGACAAAACATGGCAATGTACTGATAACACAACAATGAGTCAATAGCAATATACCATAGTGGCTAAAATTTAAGACATAAATTTTTAACATCATTGGGCGAATGTGAATTTTAAATGTCAATTACATCATAAATCATAGAAGTTTAAATATTAACTGCAATTAACTACCATTACTATGTCATAAATTGCATAGTCTGTAGCAATAACATGCTCTGAAGATTATTAGATTAGTGTATTATAACAGAAAAGGTAAGCGAACATCTTCAATACGCTGACGTTTGAGCACTTTTCCTTCTTTTACGAATTTAGCACGGTCCCCTAGGATCGGCAATACATGCTTCGGAAGTGATGCCTCTTTGTCCCCATCAAGATATATCTGAGTGATTTCTTTAACTGCCCGCGTTCCCTGAAGAACTGGAGGCATGCACCAATCGAGTTTTGTTCTAAAATTGTAAAATGAAGATTAAAATACTACCATACAGTACTAAAAATTTCAATTTCAGAATTATAGTCATACAGAAGATCTCAAGGTGACCCATCTGTTTACCTCCAATGTTTTCTACAGTACATCCGTACTTCATATTAATTAACTTACCTAAGGGACAACATCTCATTCGACTGACCACCAGTACATTGTTGTGATTTCATCACACTGTAGAATGATTCTACAACTGCTTCGGTACCTCCCTTAGCCAAAGCTATGTCAATCGTGACACATCCTTCGATTCCAATGGTATGGAAGAGACATTCGTCGCCGTAGATGCTGTGGTACACCGCTTCTTCATCTAGTTCAGCCAAGACGGGTTTCGTAACTTCACCAAACGTCAAAGAATATACATTGCCAAGACGATATGGTTTCTCCTCATCATATGTATTGGTTGCCTCCTCAAGTTTGACAAGAGGTCCGTACAATTTTGGCATTATTGACGGTAAAGAAAACCACGTTTCTGGATAACCACCTTCACGTTTCCATAGGAAAGTCTTTAAGGACTGCTTAATCTTATGCAAGATGATATGAGCAAAGACAGCATCAAAGAGTAACTCTGTTTCTTCGTGCTCTCTGCGAAGCTTCTGGATATGGTCCAATGAACATACATAGGCAAAGAATTTGTTAAATTGTTCTTTGCCATATCGTTCAAGGGACTCTTCACCAGCTGCAAGCTTAACCTTTCCACTCGTGAGGTGCTCGCCACAAAGCAAACTAAAAATAGTATCCAAATCTAAGCATGTCAAGGTAGACATCAATTCATTCGAGCAGTTGCTGATTCGATTGTTGCATGAATATACTAGATCAGATAGGAATGCCTTCAGATCTTGTTCGACATCATGTTTCTCTCGTGCAGCCCAATTGTCAACGGTAGTTTTGTTGCCATTGTCATCCTGACTGGAAACTGTCGAGGTAATTTTCCATCCTTGGACCAGCTTTGTGCCTTTAAATTTTCTCGAGAGTATGTCAGACGAATGCTTCTTAAGTAGCGGTAACAAAGACGTTGGAAATTCAACAGAAAGATTTCTGAGCATACTCTTCAAATGAGATTCCAAACGTGGCCACCAGCAAACAAGTTTCCAACAGGGAACATTGAGACCTTGAAGAGTAACAAGCAGAAGCATCAGAGGCTTCATGATATCGCACACGCCACAAAGATCCAACAAGAAGTCGTCACCCGCTATCTGGTACTCCTTGATTTCAGAGAACTGAAATTCTCTGAACGTTTTTATGAACAATGGAAGGCTTTCGAGCATCTTCTGAAATTCCATGTATTGCGATGTGGTGAAGCGAGTGCTACAAGCTCTGCTCGTCAATTTTAAAACAAGCTCGTCAATTTTAAAACAAGCTCGTCTTCCGTTTCCTGCATAACCATTGCGTGCTTTAACATCTTGCCACGCTGGAAAATTCTATGTACTACGCACGTTCGTTCAACCAACTGCCTTACGAATGCTTGAGACGTACCATGCTTGCCATCGAAAACATCGCTGAAGGCGAGGTCTAGAAAATGCGGGGGATCTCACAATACAGAGAAGAACGATGAGTCGTATTTCTCTTGCTCTAATAGAGCTGCTAGTGTTCTCTCGAATTCTACTGCCGTGGCATATGCACCATCACAAACTGTACCCATCCATGCTCCTTTGAAAGTGGTTTCTTCGACTGTAGGATATGCTGCCCTAATTTCATCAAACAAGGTTTTAGCTAATTCTGGTGCATGTGCTCCACTAACGTCACCATCAACATTTGTATCGGTTTCTTTATAGACTTCTTGGGAGCTTACTGCGATCGCCTTGCAATGGCCGTTAACCATTGGACAGAGCAGTATCGCCTGATTTGATATTCTGTTGGGTGTCGACTTGTCGCAAGTAGCATAGTAATGCGGAGGAAGTTTGGTTGAAGGTAATGGTGTGGATAAAAAACCTGCTATTTGCCTGTCACACCATAATTCTGCAGCACGTAGAATTGCGGAAAACTGCTTCCGACTGTGGCCAAGTTCACCTACATCAGACCCCGTGAAAGAATGAGACGCAACCATTGTTTCATAATGTGTGGCGGCAGACTTGGCTTTGACAACTGTCAGAGCAATTGATACAAGATTTTTCGTGACTCGTAGACCTCGTTCTTCTCTCCTTCTGCATTCATTTTGATACTATACCAAACAATTAGAGGCAATTTATCTATGATTAGAACAATAACTTGCGTTCCTCTTTCGAAGCCTTTATGGCTTACTCATACGGCCCTGCCAAGCTCCCCAGGACAGATGTGGACTGCTTCATATCTGCAAGGAAGTCATTCATCTGGTATACGCAATCCTACTTGGCAGGGAAATATTAACAAGCTTTTGTTTTCACTACATCTTTCTAGTTCTCTAATAATATATACACCTACCTGCAAAGCTTCAAAATGAAGCTGGCCACCTGCTAAAGTTACATGTGTTTTTACAACGTTCTTTAGTTTGTAAAACTCCTGGTTTCCTCCCTCAAGCAATAAAGAAGTCTTCTCCAGCGAGTAGAGTAGTCCAGTAGCAAGCGATCCTGAAAACCTACAGAAGAACAGAGAATAAACAGTCTGCAGAACTGAAGATTGACTGTACTATTTCTATCTGTATGTAATTATTGATGGATACTTACCCACCCAGTCCTTTCTTAGCGGCATCCATTGCGGTCACTTTCATCGAGGAACCTCTAAGTTTAAACTTCTTTATATAACCAAAGCATGTTTCACAGCGTACAACAGAAAGTATTTTTTGCTCTTCATTCCCAGAGAAAAATTGAATATGTTTACATACTCTCACCAAGTCAAGGATATTTTTACATCAGGCCACTGCAAAAGCAACTCTGCTGTTTCTTCAGCAGACTTTCCATCAACTGCCAAAATTGAATTGGGTCTACGGTCCTTTTCGTTTCCCAGTGATTTTATTTTAAACTCTTTGAATTCGTTGATAAGAGTGTCAACCTTTGCGTGTAAAGATGCATCAGTTGTGAGTTCACCTTGTTTTACAGATGATTGTTCTTCAGAGCAGGAGGCATTAAAAGAAAGTTTCGTTTGCACTTTCTCAGGCAAATACGTTTTTAACTGTCCTCCAGAAATTGTCTCCTCAGGTGATTTGGATAATGTTGAACCCTCACTCACATTTGGTGCTGACTGTACTCTTACTACTGTATCAACTTTTTTGGGGTGCCCAATACTTTGTTGTGCCTCATATTTCTTCCTTGCCATTCTAACAGTTTCATCGCTGTCATAATAAGACCGAACATCAGCTTGTGACAAATTATTGTCATGACGGCGCTCAGCATGTCTTTTTATTGACGTTTTATTTGATCTGCATAGTTGATATAGCTTTGGTGATTCTCCAGTTCTAAAAATTATGACAAAACTGATACATTAATTAATTCATCTCAGATCTGCTGTATTTTTAGTTTACTGCGAATAATTGCCGCAACAGAATCTTTATAAGTAATAGAAAATCTTAGAATCATAAAAAAATAAATGAATTAATAAACAAACCTAAAACACGTCACACAAATACCCCATTTCGTTTTGTCATTTGTTGAAATATTTGAGCTACTGCCTTTGTTCAATTTTGATGGTCTAGGCTGTAACCACCATTGCTTATTACCAGGTTGATTATCGGAATCGTCTAATTAGTAAAAAATTCATGTTAATGAGATATTCAGATTGAAGAAAATCACTGAAATACTGTATCAAGATAATACAGAAACAAAATTGTTTACATTACCTGTACTAATCTTACGCTTGACGCCACTAGGTTGAGAATCATTTCTCTGTTTTTCTTAATTAAATTATATATAGAACTAACTTAATTTTTTATTCTTCATCTAATTGAATAAAGGGGCCAAGGAGAACGTTTTAAATACGTCAGTGGGAACCACTTGACTCTAACCCTTCTATTAATCTCCATTTATGTAAATGTTAATGTATGTGTATGTTAATTCCAATTTTTTTATATCTATATCGATATGTACTTTATGTAATTATGTATACTGTAGTCTGTAGAAATGTAAATTGTACTGCATGTAAATATATTCGATTATATAGTTAACTTTAGAAGGTCCAGTGGAAGATTAGTGAAAGCTAAACTGGCATATTTCCTTGTAAATTAACCTTCTTTAAATAAAGTTTTAATAATAATAATAATAATTTATACTATCAGTATTGTTAAGTGCGAACTAAATTTTTCAGTATAAGAGATCTGCTAAAATAGAGTTTTGCAATAAAACAAACTTGTACAGTTAATTAATGCATTCTCACCAATTTTATCCCTTGTTTGACATATGTTGCAAAGAACAGGTACACCAAATCCTTCTAATCCATCTGGGTTTTTACCACATATAGCATGGACTGGCTTCTTACATTGCAAGCACCTGTGTGCACATGAGGAGGGCCCCTTGCATACACAACACTGCAATGAAGACTTTGCAATTTAATTGAGAAGCTACCATTTATTCACTTTAATATCCGTCAATCACTCATTCAATGAGTAACTCAGTATGAATTTATGATTTTATTTTAATACCATTCAAAATTTCAAAATACATTGGTATGGAGTACTATGGAGTATATAGATTTAGTGTTTTATAAATGTTTTTGGCAGCTGGAATGCTCCAAGTGCTACGATATCCAATAGCTTGATGTTATTTATTACCTTGTGCAGCAGGTAAAGAAGTTACAGTTTGTTCAAATTCATCCTCTGAATCAGAAAATTCAGAATCCATCACTTCTACTCCACACCCTTTAAATGAACATGAACAACACACAACATTAGAAACTAAACAATTGATTGCAGCGACTAGAACGTTTTGAACAAATTCCATATCCATGCAAAATAATGAAACTTTCTATATTTAGTCTCAATTCTCAACGAGTCTAGTTTGACTCAAATACACTATCATACTGTCAGTATGGCCATGGATTTTTAGTTTTTACGAATTTTGCAAGGTCTCTATGACACAAAGTTTAGCTGAATAAATTTAACAGTATTTAATATATTTTGCATGCATGCAAATTAATAACCATATATTAAACGCTTGACTGACCTTGTACTCACATCACTGCAGCGTTCAAGTAATCAAGTCCAGGTTCTTTTCGGAAAGTTTACAGCAAGGGTTACAGCAGCATACAGCAAGTGATACCACGTGCATGCCTGTCGCCTGAGTCAGTGGTGCACAACAACTGCACAATGTGGTACTTGGTGTACGCTACACCCATAAGTCAACAATTTGTAAGTGCAAGTCAGGAAGTTGTTAAAATTTTTCGTTAATACCTAAATCCAATTATTTTGTTTTTATCGTTCATACTGCCAGTTTATTCTTTTGGCGCCGAAATTCTCCATTTGTGCGCCAGTTCGCCACGCCGGCGCATTTTCCTATATTTGTTGCGCCAAAATCAACGGAAAGTCGGAAATTCGTAAGTACGCCACGCCGAAGCTACCAACGCAAGCTACCAACTTTCCACCCTGGACTATGGTTAGGTGTACATTTATAATTATTGATATTACCATTAAATTTTAAATCAACTACTATATATTATAAATGCATATATCAATGGTGGAAAGAATTTGTAAATAAGAGAGTAAATCAATTATATTCATTTTTCCTACAATTTTACACAGCTATCTTATTATCAATAAACAGAGCTATTGTCTATTATCTATTGCCTTTTTGTATGAAGAACTAATAACTTATACAGCACATATTTGCTAGCCTGTGCGCAGACTGTATTCTGTAATGACATATATAGTCTGCGTGCAGGCTACAGATTTGCTGCAAATATAACAACTTTCAAACTTTGCAAACAGTATTCAAATACATAAATATTTACAATTTATGCTAGTATGCTGTTGTCCCTTTCTATTTTTAATACCAGCCAAATGACACAATTCTACCATTATGATTTCACATCCAATACAGCCACCTAAATAGCTATTGGTGCTGATAAATGCCTATGGCTTGTGCAAGTGAAATTAAAATCTAGTTGAACTGTATGTTTCGTACACAAATATATTTCCTTTGATCCCGACCTTCAATAATACCCTAAGCCAGGCATATATGCATTTTTAACTATGGGCTTACTAAGCCCTAATTGTAATCGGAAATGCATATATGTGTGAGAATCATATGGTTATAACCCAAAATCTGAACCTCTTTCTGAATGAAATATACCTGCTTATTTTTCACCCTGCTCGGTTTCCTTTGTTCTTAGTGGGGAATATATTCAATATTCTCCTCTAATCAATTTCCGTTTAATAACCCCCTCTAATATTCACCTGCAATTAATAATCCCCTCTAATATTCATCTGCAATGTCTTTGCAGCACAAAAAATGAGAAAAAACAACATCGCGAAGGCAAAATGGCATTAAGAATTATTTCTGTTCTGACTCATTAAGGCGACCTCGCAGTGTGAAAAATAAGTACGTTATTTTGAGGCACCTCGGGGATATGTGTTTATTCACCTCGGCGCTGCGCGCCTCGGTGAATAAATCACATATCCCCTCGTTGCCTCAAAATAACCTATACATATTAAGTACTGGCTGACAGTTAAATATATTAAATATTCTATACAGAAAATGGTCAAATGATATGGCTTACTCATTGCCACAAATCTATTTAGGTATGAGAAATTTATGTTTTACCCATGAAAGCACATTGCACTCTGGATTTCCCTATTTTGTTATTCAATTCTGTCTAATGGCAGATGATCTTACTTGTTTGATCTTACTTTAACTCATTAAGTGCCTGCACTTCTCCCCTTGACGAGTAAAATCATCTGGCGTTAGACAGAGTAAAACAATCTGGCTATAGACAGAGAAAAATAATAAAGTATAGTGTGCAATGCAACTCAATGGTTTAATGGGCAGATAGGCCAGTTAATTAACCCCATTGACATGGAGTTATTTACATCAGATAAACATTGCATTACCAGGGTATAACAGAATGTATGACAACATGGGCAAAACCATAGACTGATAATTGTCAGGTAATTGCAAAAAGTATCAGCCTGTGGTCAACAAATGCTTTTGGCATATATTATGTTACACAAACACAGTCACAAAAAGTAAAAAATATCATGATTAACCCAGGATTGCTATCCTGCAATCATTTTAATATTATATGGCTTACCGGTTTGTCGCAAGCGCTTCTTAAACTTGCTATGGAATTTAACCGAGAACAATATTTATACCCTCTAATATGTCTGCAGTCTGCACAACCATTAGGCACTATAAAATTAGTTCAACCATCCAGTTATGAAATGCAAATATATTTAAAAATATATATAAAAATTCTATGATATAATTTTGGCAAATTATAGTCTTTAGTCTTTGTTCATAAGGGCTTGAAGTCGTAAGTCCAAACAGAAATCAGCCTTGTCATAGCGCTGAACATAAAATGTTAAAGTTAGCTTTTCTTGCTTCATGTTGTAATCAAATATTACGGGTGTTGATTTCCCAACAACAACAGATGCTCTTCCAGAGTATTGCAATATAGTGCGACTGTTCACTCTCACCTTGTCGAGTAGCCTTTTCTTTATAAAATAATTCTGGCCCCCAAATCTCACAGGCGAGAAAACTTTTGAAGCGGCTTCGAAAGACTCAATATTTACAGCCAGCGTTGTCTTGCTGCTTTTCATTGAGCCGCCATAGCCAACTGCAACATTACACAAGTGTTGAAACATTGTGTAAGGCACAAAGAGCTTAACAGGCGGCATAAGACCAGTATTCCTTGATCTCCCAAGCTTTGCGTACATAGCTTTCCACAACTCACGAAAATAACTATCAATAAGCGGCCCAGTCAGCTCCAACTTGTTCGAAGCTCGCTCCTCAAGGATGGCATCTACCACGCATACCATAATTTGGTTTAGTTTTGCACTTCCAAACTGCATCTATCCAAAGACGCTCCACTGAAAATTTCATAGCTACAGACGAACGATTCCAAAATCAATCAGATCTTTCGGTATCATCACCAGATGATCAGAGTTGAAGGCAAGAAAGTGCAGCTAAAAGTTGCTCAAAGACCGCCATATTTTAAATAATTTGCGAGGGAAATTCTAGTCTAATGGGGAATACCGCATGAATATCTGAGCCCGTGCTTCCGGGAGAAAACTACTTAGCAACTGACCACCGTGATTATTATCTGCGAACTGTTGCTCAGACAATTGTATACCGGGTGTCCCAAAAAAAAGTACTCCGGTTTGATTCGTAATAACTTCGAAACTAGTAAAGCTTTTAAAGAGAAATAACTTGCATCAAATAGAGGAAGCCCTAACTTAGATTTTGATATATTACACTTGTATTTCACTTAAAAATTCGCGGAGATATTAATGTTTAAAATCGGGAGCATATTTCTGGATGTGTATGAAATATGCAAAAAACGGGGTATCAAATATTAATCAAGATTTGCCCGACTGAAACATGCACTATTACCAGTAAATAAATGACACTTGACAAATTGTTTATTATGAAACAAAGTATTTGTTATCTACAAAATACAAGGAAGATTTATTCGTCCGAAATCCGCGTGTGTTTCTATAGCACGAGTACGTTTCCTTATTTCATAAGACCACTGACTGCATCGCGAAGGATCGTCATGGATCGTTCGTGTTCTGAATTAGGGGATGCTGCTGTCACAATGGAATTGTGAAGCTCTTCTAACTTTTGCAACGTTCTGAAATCTTGTTAAGAACACTCAATCTTTTTTGCTTTTTCTTAATCTTGGCAAGTTCAGAATAAACTAAGAATGAAACACAATCAAACCATACAACTCCATAAGACATAACAAGCAACTCCCCAGAGACATCCAACATTTTTGGAACAAAACATAACAAAATAGTAGCGTTGATACTGTGATGTGTATTTGCAAAATGCAGTATTATTTCCTTCATTAAAAAATAATATTCATCCTGCTCTAATCGAGAAATATTCAACTCTGTTTTCAACCCATGAAAAGCATAAAAAATATAGGCTATTTAAGAAAAATTTAAGCGCCTGCCTTGAATGGTCTTTCATGTACCTTTAAATTTGTATTAAAGACCTATTAAATACTTTACGTTTATATTTCGTAATATAATACGAACATTTATATTTCAGGAAACAATGAGCTTAGATGTAAGATGTCTAAATCTACACCATATTTTTATACAATCCCTGACGACAATTCGCTGAAATACAAGTTAGCCTGATATGTCATTAAACAAACAAACGCTGGAGTTAATATTTGATATGCCGATTTTCGCTAATTTTAGACACATCCCAAAATATGCTCCCGATTTTGAACATTAATATCTCCGTGAATTTTTAAGTAAAATACAACTATAATATATCAAAATCTAAGTTAGTCCTTCCTCTATTTAATGCAAGTTATTTCTGTTTGATAGCTTTACTTGTTTAGAAGTTATTATAAATCAAACCGGAGTACTTTTTTTTGGGACACCCGGTATACAATAAAATATGGTGAACTCTCACCCAAATATTTTGATTCTTGTCCGCAAACTCTCGCCCAGACAATTATATACAATGAAAACATCGTGAATTATCACCCAAACGTTTTGATTCTTGTCCGTGAACTCTCGCTCAGACAATTGTATAAAATAAAACTTGGTGAACTCTCACCCCAATATTTTGATTCTTGTCCGCAAACTCTCGCCCAGACAATTGTATACAATAAACATGGTGAACGCTCACCCAAATATATTGATTCTTGTCCGCGAACTCGCGCTCAGACAATTGTATACAATGAAAACTTGGTGAATTATCACCCAAACATTTTGATTCTTGTCCGCGAACTCTCACTCAGACAATTGTGTACAATAAAACTTGGTGAACTCTCACCCAAATATTTGGATTTCTTGTCCGCGAACTCTCGCTCAGACAATTATATACAATGAAAACTTGGTGAATTATCACCCAAACGTTTCGATTCTTGTCCGCGAACTCTCACTCAGACAATTGTGTACAATAAAACTTGGTGAACTCTCACCCAAATATTTTGATTCTTGTCTGCGAACTCTTGCTCAGACTATTGTGTACAATAAAACTTGGTGAACTCACACCCAAATATTTTAATGCCTGTCCGCGAACTCTCGCTCAGACTAGACTTGAACTCTCAGCCAGATATTGGAGTTGATTTTTGTCCGCTCAGGCAATCGTATACTGCAGAATTGAGGCGAAATTTCACCCAAATATACACATGGTGAGTTCTCAAATAGACACATACACAAATAGACAGGATATAAATTGAGAATATCGTCGGAGCTGTATAGTGTAGAAAATACATATCGCTATGTCAAGGTTGATGATAAGAAAGCATGACATTTCATATATCAGTATATATTTTTACCTCAAGTTCGCCAGTGGGATTGTCAGCTCGGGGTGGCTCAAGCGGTGGTGCTTGCTGTTCTTGTTGAACAGGTTCTTGTACTGGAGCTTGTGCTGGAGCTTCATTAGCGGGTTCAGGCTGTTCGTTAAGATACTGCACCACAGGGTGAGGATTTTCGTCAGCCATGACAATGTAATAAAACTGACTTTTGAAGACGATAGTTGCGTGGGTCGGACAACGGAACTAAGCAGCTAGACGTTCTCCGGACACAGCCGCGGCTTTAAACTAAGCGAGAAGAGAGTGTTATCTCGCCAGAAACTGCATTTTATACCTATTCCACATGTGATCGAGCCATTCATTACTATTTATTAATCCTAGTTTGTTTATTGTTCCATATTCTATCTTTGCATATCATTAAGAGTGCTATGAATAGTTCTTTATAAAACTAAACTGCCTTTAATTTCAATGGCTTTATCGATAAACTTTGAGTTTGCAATGAAACCTTTGCCTTTCTTTCTGAGAATGCGTTTGAAATTTACAAAATCTTGCAAAAATGCAAGCAAAAATGAAATATATTTGCAAGAAATTTATCAATCATCAAATCAAGAAATGTTTGCTATTTTGCTGTCGTCATGCAGTCGTTATAATGCAAACTTTAAATTGGACCAATCAGTGTCTGCTATTCATGACAGTCCGCCATATTTTTGAGATCAGCGAGGATGACCACACACCCAACACTCGAACACTGTTGGTGACCCATGCCCACAATCATTGATGAACTTTAGACTTAGGCTAATGCTTTCGTTTCCCTGGGTGTAAATAGCCAGGGGGAATTATTACCCTCGCACAGTGCCTCGAGCCGTCGGCTCAGGGATTAAAATAATTTTTATCGTAGATATGAGTAACTGTGATAACATTTGAGTCTTCTGGAAATGTTTGAAAACCTTGCTTTTTATTATAACGTTTAACCTTCTATAGCCTAAGACCACATATTTTATCATTCTATAGCCTCGGACCACATATTTTATCATTCACTGAAAAGCCCCAATTCGGGGAGTGTTCAATAAATTATTGTATTGTATTATACTCTAGATATGCTCACTAGTCTACTTCAGCATCAGTTATTATGTTTTATAATATAAGTGAGATATAACAGACAATTTGATTGACTAATGCATGTTACGCTCTCAGTTTTTGAAATACAAAATTTAGCAGAAAAAACCAACAAAATAGGTTAAAAACTAAAATGCATGAGCCAGCCTGCGAAAGCAAACACACTGAAGAAGGCGAAGAAAGATTTGCAGCTATTTCGGACACTGAGCTAAATTTTCTACTCGAAAGTCATTCAAAGGTGACAAAAACTGCCACGAACTGGGCTGTTTCTACATTTATATCTCATTTGTGTCGGTTTTCTTTGATCGTCTGAGGTTTATAACTAGCTAATATACCTCGAATAAATAATTACATTGAACTTTTCGACAAAACGCGAGAATTTTTCATAAATTTTTTTTGAAAATGACAAAATATGTTAGAAAACCTCCACAAATGAGATACAAGTTAGTTATAAACCTCGAAAGTCGGTTTATAACTCTAACTTAAAGGTACGTAAATTTTATACTTGTGCGTTCAAATACTTGCGATACAGAGAAAGCTATATTAACGAACTAAATTTGTAGTTAATATACAAGTAAAAATCATCAGCTTCACTTTGGCATTTGTCATTATAATAGTGATCGAAGTTTTACAAAGTCGACAATATAATACAAAGCTACACGAAATATGTCATTTTTTATGAATTTCATGACTAAAAAAACCCAGCAACATAATTGTTTGAAACAGTACCTTTCAATTAAAAATGCCTAATATTTTTAGATTGGTGCTACACAAAAAACATAATACCTGAACTGAAAAAAATGACAACAAGACAGCTTCTACGCTGAAGCCAGGACGAAAGACAAGCCAGGACAAAAGACAAGCGAGACTACAGCAAGTCAGCATTGAACACATTCAGACATGGTATTGAAAGATATCTAAATAATCCACCACTGAACAGAGAGATTATAGAATTGCCTCTAACTCCTTGTTTACCCAGTCCAACCAGATGCTCTCGTGCAAGCAGCATTTTCGACCCCATCAATCCTTTGTCACTTCATCATAGTGTGTGGTTTCACATTCTCATGTATCGGTGTAGACGGAGTCGAGAAGGACAACGTAATCGCACTGTGAACAAGTTTCACATTTGAAGTTGATAGCTCTTGTCAACGCTATGTGAGGATGATGTGATGTCCTTGATTAACTGACATGCCCAGCATGGAGAAAGAAGCAAGAATGTTCAAAACTGATCAGCCAGTTGATGGGTATAAAGCTTTGGCTCTTTATCTTGAGAAAGTCAACCCAAACTGTCTTGCTCTTTTCCAGTATCCTGCACGAAAATGGCAATCAACAAACCCGGTTTGGTTCAAAAATCGACCACTCAGAGTCAACAAATTGGGCAAAATGATGACTGAAAGTAGCCAAGTTGCCGGTCTGTCAAAGAATTATACAAATCATAGTGTCACACAACAGAACACTGTCTTAAAGTTCTCTCAAACCCCTTTTATTATTATTATTATTATTATTATTATTATTATTAAAGTCTTTATTGTCTAGAGTCACAACAGACGTGCAACTTTACAAATGTGAAATTCCTATTTATTACAGTTAAAAAATTGATCTATCCTAATTAATTATATGAAAGTTAAAAATAGTTAAAAAGACATCTATTTATGAAGGATCGTTTAAATTGTTCCATTTTTTAATTTGAGGTAAAATAAAGTTATGTTCCCTTTGTCTAAAAATCCTTTGTTTACACACAGGAAGCAATTCATGCAGGGCATATTCTGGATTCGATACGATTTTACTTTCCTCGATCACTTCAGATATCTTTATACTCTTTGTCGTATATCCATAACGATAAGCCCGCCGGAAAAACTTGTCTATACGATCCAAATATTTTTTTGGAGTGCAGAGCCCCACACTTCAATGCAATAGTAAAAGAGTGACATGATTAGCGATTCAAATAATTTGCTTAGCTGATCTGCAGAGTAACCATAGCATCTACACACTCTCAATATGTACATACGCCCACTAGCCTTCGACAGAAGATCATCGATATGAAGATCCCAGCAACATAGATTTTCCTGAAATGTGACACCTAATAATTTCAACCAACTCTTTTGTTCAATGCCTACAATCTGTGCTGGTAACGGTTTCATAGACCCACCGTGCACAACCATTTCCCACATTTTAGAAAGATTTAATGTCATTTGATTTGCTTCTGACCAATTCTGAATGCTTTCCACCTCGGCCTCAGCAGAATCCGATCCTGATTTTACTGGAGCACTTGTCGTTATGTCGTCAGCAAATTTAACCAATAGGTTGTTTTGCGCATCCATGGGTTTTATATCATTGACCATCAACGAAAATAGAAAGGGACCCAAAACCGTACCCTGTGGTATGCTTTGTTAATATCAACATAAACTGTTTCTATGCCATCAACAACAACTCTTTGTTTTCTGTTGGCCAGAAAACTAATAATCCAGTTTTAGACGGCCGGCCAACTTGACAAAATTCGCTTCAAAAAACCTTCATTTGGCATTTTGTGTTACAAGCAAACAAAACATATAGACATATTGTTTAGACACTTACCTAACTTATTAGGCCTGTTGGCACGAAAGCTTTTGCCTTTGAAGCTCAAATTTTTACGATTTCTGCACCTCTCGAAAGCGCGTAAACTACACAGGAAAAATGGCGGGAAATGATCATTGGGCTTTCCCCAGCTCCCGAAATAACCAATCAGCGCTTGCCTTTAACTTGCGAGTGTTCCCTTGTTGCCTTGACAACGACAAACTCGAAAGAACTTTGGTCTTTTTTTTCACTGTTTTCAACACGAAATACACTGTAAAAAGCGAATTTGTATATAAAAAACCCCAGAAAAGCAAAGACATCAAAGAATACACAGTAAAGTTTGTATATATGTTTTTTCTACTTATTTTAATAATGTAGTTCATAACATTTACAGTTGTCGCTTCAAGTAGTTTATGTGTTCTTTCCAACAACATTAAGCAATCTTCTAATCAAGTCGCCAATAGAAGTTTTCCTTCGGATATATTTTTTTATGCAGCAAAAATGAGTTATGAGTCTAGCTCAAAACGACCTTTATATCCGAAAATAGATCCAATAACTGTCCTTAAAAAGGTTAAGAGAGATTCAGAGATTTCCAAGTGTTTCTTTTGCGAGGGCAGTGAGACTGCAGTAGGCAGTGGCTTGAGTAGTGCAACAGAGGAAGGGAAAAGCAAGGTTGTTGAGGTTGCCCTAAAAAGAAAATCTCTGAACGATACAAGTTCCCTAGGTGTTATTGAAAGGATACTTGCTACCATTGGTACCGGTGAAAATATAAATTTAGATGATTTAAAATGGCATCGTTCTTGTTA